GAGGGAGGGGGAAAATGAGCAGCTGTTATTAAGGGCTAAAGTAGAAGGCAAACGTTTTGAGAATGATGAGGGCAACAGATGTACATATGTGCTTGACACAATGTATGTATGTATGGATTTTGATAAAGAATTGTACGAGCTCCCAATAAAATAATTTTTTAAAAAATGTTATACATGTTGAGAAACTGTTTTCCACTATCCTATTTGTTGTTAGTTGCTGTGGACTGCACCCTGACTCAAGGTAACCCTTCCATGCTGGGCAGAACTGGGTTCAAAGGCCTTGACCTTCGGAAAGCAGGTCTCCTAACCTATCCACTATCTTTCATTTGAGGATCACAGACAGACAGATCCCACCAACACTCCAGGTTTTTAAAAATTTGAAGACATTTTAACTAAAATACAGATTGTCTGCTTTAAAAAATTAAGAATAGTTTTCAAAATACAATATCCAACCTTTAAGAAATAAATATGTAAGAATCTCATGACTTGGACGCAAGTCTTTAATAACTTGAATCTGGGTAACTTCATGAAGAATGACACCTGGAAATTAACACTGCACTCAATCCTATGAAATGCATTAAAATGCAAATGGAGACATCATTCATTGCTTCTTGATTATAATTTCATGCAAACTGAGACCTCCCCATCAAAAAAAAAAAAAATCAGGTATCACTTTTCCAATGTATTCATTTACCTGTACTGGTGGCAGAGTTGCTCTGTCCTTCATCTGAATACTGATACTGCAGAGGCTCATCTGCTCCTGGAAAGTACTATATGTAAGAAAACATATCACAATTAAATCTTTCTTTAATGTAAATCAAAATCTGTCAAAATAATCTGAGGAGTACATCTGAATTATATCCTTGTTGTGGAACTGGGCTGTAGCAAAGATGTTGCTTTATTTTCCCAAAGGCATATACTAAATTTGCAGCCTTTTATTTTACAGATAAGAAAAATGTTAACTTTTGAATTTTAACTGGGACCAATGCCATGTACCTACCTAAACATTTAGTTTACATGGAGCCTAGATGATCTTGAAGAAAACAGCAAATATTTTTTCTAGAGAAACATGGAATTAAGTAACTATTACTCCTCATAATTACATGAACCACATTTATGTTCTCATAGCATGGCATAGCCTGGAGTTTGTCATGCTGATGATTCATTTGAGAACTGAGATTGGTTACTGTATAATTATCAGAACTAACTTTCAAAGTATGGGTATATATTTTTTATAATCTATATGAGGATAGATTATAAATTAATTTTTATATCACAAGGTTTTGCGTGATCTGATTAGATAGCTAACCTGGATTCTCATCCACTCTATCTTCAGGCCCTAGGGTTCTACGTATAGATGGTACACGAAAATTACCTACGCTATTTCTAACAGAGAGAATCAAAATCTCTGGCCACTTGAGAAATGATAACAGTATATCTTAAGATATGAAAGCTAATTCTTAAGGGAAAGGGAAGATGCTTAATCTTAGCAAATCATGTGGAAATTCAGGCACTTTCAAAAATATGTGAACTTCTTAAAGGAACCCACATAACTGATTTTGTTAGTATCCCAAACTCTAGAGGCCTAAAATATTTCAAATAATCATAAATTACCAGACAATGAAATTATGATAATTATTTCAAAAGGCTTCATCTAATTTTAAAAGTGCTGTAAATCCTAGAATAAGGTTTTTAACATTTTAAAAGCAAACTGAAATGTGCACTGAAAAACACAGAATTGATTTTGTTATTTATGGTATTTGTGGCCTGCAGCATGGTTCTGAAGACTGAAGGAATAAATAAATCACTGCTCTGATGGGGAAACCTGCCAGTCGCTGCTCACGACATCTTCATCAACCAATTTACACATGACCTTTTACGTGTGTTTTTGTCCAATGGCATCTTGTTTAGTATATATTAATGAGTCATTATCTTTAACTGAATACCAGAATAATGCTGCTAACACACACATTTTCTCCATAAGGCCAAAAACAGCCTTCCTTGCAGAAAGGAATACTACGCCAGCACTTCAACAACACAGTTGGGGTCATTTAAGGGACAATGGTGATAAAAGGTGGCATAAGTGACTGTGAAAGGAGATGTGTTGACAGCGTGAGCGCTGAAACAAGAAGACAGAGCATCATCTTGTTCCACAGCTTGGAATCTGTGCCAAGACCCCACTGTTTCCCCTTCAAGCATACCTTGAAGAGTTAATTTTGGAATTATAGGTAAATTTTAGCAAATAGATGAATTCACATACAGAACCCACAAATCATAAGGATTGACTGTATTTCCAAACAACATAAAATCACTTAATATGTCTAGCAATACAACCTCTCTGCTGCTCTGTATAAATGACTGACTGCTTGATGAAGGTTTGTACTACGGAAAATGCAAAATTTATATAAACAGTATCTCAAAATTACAAGATACGTAAATCCTGTAAAGGCTCTAGAGATCATCTAATTCAGCTTCTCTCACGTCATAAATGCAGAACCCTAGAAACAAACATACTGGTCCAATAATATTTTGAATGAAAAATAAGGACAGAAACCTAGTCTAGCCACTTTCCTACTATAAAGAATTATTTTCCCATTTTTCAAAATAACAATGCCTTCTCTGATTATGAGCAATGCTTATCCACTCTGACTGGGAAAGTATAGGAGAAACAATTATAATAATGTCCAATATTTTAAAACCTCATTAAAAGCAATTTATCTCAAATTCCACTAAACCCAAAGCCCCTCAAAAGAAGGATTATACCCGCATCAGGTGAGTCATTATTTTCACAATTTCCTCCATAGAAGGGCGTTGAGAAGGATCTTTAGACCAACAACGAGTCATCAGGCTCTCAATGGGCTTCGGCAAATTTTTGATCAGTGGTGGTCTAGTACCTACAATTGAAAATTAGAGAAGAGTGTTTTTACCCTAAGAATGGTACATATTTTTCTGTAAATGTATAAAACAGTATTTATTTTATAGAGCTTATCGTTTAAGATCTACATTTTAGAATAATAAAAATTTGGTATATTTTTAAAATCTTCTTTGGGCTATTATAATTATCTATGTATAGTTTCATAAAGAGGAAACTAAACTTTTTAAAAAGTTTAGTTTCTAGAATGTGTAAGATTGAAACTTAAGAGACTATTTCATGTGTTCTTTTAATGTCCAGAAAGAACTCAGTATGTCCTATTATGAAAAACAAAATGAAGGCTTAGGGAAACCTTACCTGCAACATGCTTTCAGATTCATTGCAAACATTTCAAATTGTATTTGAATAATTCATCTTTACAAGGGTTAAATCAAAAAGTACTGCTGCAAAACCACAGAAACCTTTATTAAGCAAAAACATCAAAATGTGAAGTTACTTTTTCTTAACATCCTCCATCTAATTATGCACAATTCTGAAGAACGTGTTTCCATCTCTCTTAACCCTTCCCCGAAGAACTGTGTTCTTCAATGTAAATCATGTCCAACACACAACTTTGGCATCCTTGAGCAGCTCCGTCCTGTGCTACGAGGTATTCTTGGAGTCTGGGGCACAAACAGAAGTCGAAAGGGATGAGTATCGGCACCGCAGGGTGGGTGGGGTTAGGTTTCCCAATGAATTTCTCTTAAGGCAGTCTTTGTTGCCCTCAAATAAGCAGGTGCATTGTTGTGATGAAAACAAATTTCTGGGTGCGACTTTCTTGGTCTTTTTTTCACCAACACACTTCTCAATTTTCTTCCAACATCTTCCTAACCAGCCCCTGTGATCATCCTGTGTGTTTTAGGAAAAATCTCTGTGGCATTCCAAAAAGAGTCACCATCGCCTTCTAAGCTGAACGCTCTACCTCGAATCTAACCAGCTCGGCAGATCCCTCCAGAAGCCGCTCTTTTCACTGGACCTTACTCTCTACATCAAATTGCAATTTCAAAGCCTGTCTCCAGTTATACTTTGTTCCATAAAATCATCTTCATTAACCTCAACCTTGCTTGAAAGGGTAATGGGAAGATCAGCAATTTGCATTCACTGGTTCTCACACAACACAAGTGAAAGCTTGCTGAGGTCAGGATGTTTGCTTACTGCTGACAGTGCCGAACCCTGTGAAATCCCAACTAAAGTAGCCATTACATCAGTGGTAATCTTAGGGTCTTCTTCCACCAGCTTCTGGATTTCAGTCAGTTTTCTTCATTTGTTGAGGCTGACTGTCTTCCTTCTCTTGGCATATCTGTGAAGTCCTCGTGATATTCCGTAAAATCCTTGATCCATCTAGAAACAAATGTTTTATGGGCAGCATTCCCATAAACTGGTGCACAGCTTCAATGTGGGAAGATGTCCACTTGCATTTTGATAAAAATGTGATACTAAACCTAACTTCAAAACCATTTTTTTCTCCATAGCACCTTTTTTGTTGTTGTTGTTAAGGCCATGAAGAGACTAATATAAGGGTATTACTGAGAAAACGTGACTACAGCCATCCTCAGATCTCAGAGACAGGTCTGTACATTCTGCTTGGAATAAAGGCACACATGTACGGTCTGGAGCCCTAGAAGCAATACTTTCTGACTTACCTGCACATATCTAAAATGTGTTCAACTCTGACCTCCAAATGACCCTTTGTGGGAGACACATTTTTGGTTCTATGAGTCAATCATTTTATAAACGGAAAATAATCTTTCATTCCATATTTACCAACACTGCTATATTATGAATAAAATTCTATCTATAGTCTCAACTAAATTTCATGAGATTTTTGTCATTGACTCAAATAAATTCGTTCTTGTATCCTTTATTTCACCGACATTGAATCACTGACTGATAACTAACGGAAGGGAAAGAGAAAGTCATCTGTCTGGGGCAGTACTCTAGCATCCTCTCAAGTAACAGTAAAGGTAGTACGAAACACTGCTAAAAATCCTAACAGTCTTCAATAACGCTGCTTCCAGAGTCTATAGCTGACCAGAATAGCAGCCAAGGCACCTAATTTTACCACAGATATTGCATTAAAAATGTGCTGAAAAACTCAGTTTATACACGGGTATATACGGTAAGTAGTTAGGTAAACATTTGTTTTTCTCATTTCTGGAACAGTATTTAAAAATAGCATTAATCAGAATGATTATAATCAAGTGACAGAAATTAAGTTAACAGAAAAGGTAAGGAAGGTTCAGTAAACTTAAGCAGAAAGTTTATTTTTCCAGAGCAAATGTGAAATAACTTGATTAAGCAGGAGGATGGAACACTCCAAGAGCCTATGTGCTTCGGATTATTGTCACTAAGTCTAAAAAAGACCAGTAAGGACGCAAGTCCATTGTGTTCATACATCAATTTAACTTAAAAACACACCCACTCCCCTCTCTTATCAAAATGTTTAGGTTAAAGTCGACATTATTTGAAAATAGGGAATCGTTATGAAAATGGAGGATGACTCTATCATTACACAGCTGCAAAATCACATCACGCATAACTGCCACATCACTAAGCATCACAGCCCAGACGTGGAACCTTAATTAACCATCACAGCCAGTGTTAGTTTTGTCTAGCACTTTGTCAGTTGTGACTACCAGATGTGAAGTTGTTAATGCACAACATCGTCTGATAGTAAATAGTTCACCACTGTCCTAGGTGGACAATATCAGATAATAAGATATTCCATAATTGTGGGTGTTACAAGCACTAGAGTCAGAAAGATATAAAAATTGAATCACTGTTCTAAAAGGTACCAACATTGTAACCTTATGAAAGTCACTGAACCTCTCCACGTTTCAGCTTCCAGGACTGTAAAATTAGGCAATCATAAGGATGAGTGAGAAGATGATAAAAAAACAGGATACTCAAAGAATATTGTTTTATGCCTTTACGAGTGGTGTGTGAAAATTTGTATTATTATTCTTGGTTTTCTCTCCTGGGTGAGAGCCTTGCTTCCTAAATCTCAAGATCGAAATGCCGTAATACCCAAATTTATTTTATACCATGTGCAAGATAACGCTTTCATGCTTTCCACATAATCTTCAGTCAGGACCAGCCAACTTGCCCTGCTCAGTTGGCACTGGCTTACATACTGCTGAACTTTTAAAAATCAAGACAGTCTGCACCATCTCTTCAGATCCCAGCACTGACTGAGTACAACAGAGGCCAGGCTCATACTTATTACCCTTGCCACACGCCTGTTTAAGAAAACCAAACTGACGGCCACGGAGTCAATCCCACAGCAACCCTATCGGACAGAGCAGAACTGCCCCTGTAGGTTTCTGAAACTATAAATCTTTACAGGAGTAGAAAGCTTCATCTTTCTCTTGCAGATCAGCTAGTGATTTCGAACTGCCGACCTTGTGGTTAGGAGTCCAGTACATAACCCCCTAAATGATCAAGGGTCCCTGGGTGGAGGAAAGGAAAAGACAGGTCAACTGGAAATATCTGGTTACCCAAACATGGTCCATTTGAACACAGGAATGAATGACTTTCCTTGGTGGGAGGGAGCAAGAGCAGTTTTTCAATTAGGAAAAAAATCATACAATAAAGAATGTTTTTTTCTTTTCCACGAACCATTGTGAACAGCCCACATGATACGGAAAGCAGGGCCACCAATTTCATCAAAGGGTTTCCGACGTGTTATTACTTCCCAGAGGATAATACCCCAGCTGAAGACGTCACACTTTTCACTGTAATTGCTACCTAGGGGGGAAAAAACGAAACAAAAGGAAGTATAGTTTTAAGACTTTCCCCCTCAAATACCTTATAGAAATAACTGTTTTCATAAATTCTCAAAATAGGCATTTTTGAGGTAGAAAAAGCAGCAGCTTCTCTGAGAAGAGTTGAGAGATTACTCTTAAGTACCTTCGTGTGCATTTTCTAACACATTAAATAGCAACAATGCATCCCCCTCCCCAAAAAAATCACTTTAGAAAGTCACTTTTTTTCTAGCTTCTCATCAACTAGCACAGGCCTTCTATTTATTTTAGACTGATCCTTCCTCTGGGGCAGAGCATAAAACACTTGTACTTTTTGTGTGTAACTTTTAAATCTAAAACTTTCTTCTTTCATTTGTCCTGATGCAGCCATTGCATTACTTTAATTAATCCCTGAAGAGGAAATTTCTAATTTAGTGCTAAGATTTCCCTCCCCTAATAGCTGATGAGATAATATTCATAATTTAAAATTAAAAAAATAAGTTGCAACAATGAAAGACAGATGAATTCATAATAAGCAAACTAAAGCAGCAAACTTTTCAGGAGCTCAAAGTTGATGGGTGAATGACAAGAAACAACAAAAACCCATTACATGAATGAACTTTTTTTAAAATAGTGATATGCACGCATTATGCAGTGCATGGTAAAGTAGTAGCACAATGAGGTTAAAGAATATCATTTGGTCTGTAAGTGTCCTCAAGCGTCCCGGTGACATGTGACTAAAGATCGGAAGTTTGAAGTCACTAGCTACAGTGTGAGAAGACATGGCTGTCTGCTTCCATAAACATTCACCGCGTTGGAAACACCCCGGGCAGTGCAACTCTGTCCTCCATGGGTGCTGACAGGTGGACTCCAGAGCCGTGGGGGTGGGTTTTGTTGATGGGAACCACCAGAGAAACCTTTCAGAAATGAAAAAATAACTTGACCTTTGTCTTACCCTGTCATATCTCACTTAAGTTCTGAAACAGTGGCCCAAAAATTTCATACTAGATTTCTGTATAAAAATAAACTACACATGAAAGCATCTAAATAATGAACACATTAAAATGTACTCTGTATATTCACATGAAGGTAGGGTGTATTACTTAGTTTTGTATAAATTAACATTTGTTTGTCCAACCTTTTAGTAGGATTTTAAGGAAATAGTGTCCAATCAAATAATTAGCTCCATAATATAATTAATTTTTCTGGGGTCGCTAAAGAAATTTAAAAATCTTTAAATTCATCAAAAATAAATTAGTCATAACCTGAATCTAATTATTAAAGACCTATGAGTCATACTTCCTAGCACATAAATTAAAATCTTTTCAGTTCAATGTCTTTCAATTTAAAATATAATTTGACATTTTTATACAAAAACCTAGTATCAAATGTATAGACTCTTCCATAAGCACTTGGGAAATATACAGAAGAGTCAAAGAAGGTGAACTGCTAAGATCTTGTCACTTGATCTCCTTTCTGATACATTTGATTTAAAAAAAAATGTTTTCTGTGCATATGTGTTTCACATTGGCATTTTTCTGTTGTATTTTGTCATTGTGGGTAACCTTCTTGACTGTTATGTGTTTGTCTGTTTTTCAGTATATGAAACCCAGGATAGGTGAGTCTACAGAGACAACCACTGGAATAAGGACAATAAGGGTTCCTGGGGGATATGTCGGTGATGATGGTGGTGTGGTAAGGGGGAGCTGATATTGAAAGGAAGAATATATATATAGAGAGAACATTTCTCTCTATATATAAATCATCTTATTGGGGGCTCGTACAACTCATCACAATCCACACAACCATCCACTGTGTCAGGCACATTTGTACATATGTTGGCCATCATCACTCTCAAAGCACTCCCTTTCTACTTGAGTCGCTGCTATCAGCTCATTTTTTCGTTCCCTCCCTCGTCTCATGAACCCTTGAAAATTTATAAATTATTATGTTTTCATGTCTTACAGCGACCAATGTCTCCCTTCACCCACTTTTCTGTTGTCTGTCCACCTGGGAGGGGGTTATATGTAGATCATTGTGATTGGTTCCCCTTATCTCCCCCCACCTTCTACTTACCCTCCTGGTATCGCTACTCTCATTATTGGTCCTGAGGGGTTTATCTGTCCTGGATTCCCTGTGTTTCCAGCTCTTTTATCTGTACTGTGTACATGCTCTGGTCTAGCCGGATTTGTACGGTGGAATTGGAATCTTGATAGTTGGCGGAGGTGGGGGGGGGTATTAAAGAACTAGAGGAAAGTTGTATGTTTTATTGGTGCTAATACTGTACCCTGACTGGGTCGTCATTTCTCTGAGACCCTTCTGCAAGGGGATGTCCGATTATTACAGATGGACTTTGGGTCTCCACTCCGTGCTCCCCCTTGTTCACATTGATATGATTTTTTTGATGCCTGATACCTGATCCCACTGACACCTCAAGATCACACAGTTTAGTGTGCTGGAAGAAACTATTTGGAAGCTGATTGGGGTAGCAGTTTGTACCACACTGCTTGATACGACTGAACTACAGGATGGTGGGAAGTCTAGATAAGCTCCTAATGAAAGCGCTTGGAAAGAAAAAGAGATGGGTGTGTAAGTTCTGGAATACTCAGGGTCTTTATTCATCTATGAGCTGCAGTGAAAGAGAAGTTGTCTTCAAAGGAGGAATAAAAAGACGAGACTCATGTTTTAAATAGACAGATCAAGGTAAGAGTAAAAATGCACCATAATAGGCTTTAACATCACCACAATATCATTTAATTAAAATCTATTCAAGCACACAAAAAAGAAGGTAAACATAAGCTTGCCTTAAATTTGTAGTTCTGAGTATCACATTTCTAAGGAAATGTTTGTACTCTCCCCTCAGGTATGCTAATTTAAACTTCAATACTGTTCATTTTCTACTTCTAGGAAATGATACAAAAGTACAAACATGAACTATTATGGAAGGTACATGACAACTTAAATCTTGCCTTAAGCTTTAAAATCAAAAGGAATGTTTATTTAATATTTCCTTAGGGTAGTGCAAATGGGTAAACGCTCAACAACTGGCTAAAATGTTGGTAACCTGAACTCAACCAGAGGTGTTTCTGAACAAAGGCCTGGCGATCTGTTCTCCAAAGGTCACAGTCTTCAAAACCCTACAGCGCAGTTTTACTGCACAAGTCAAAATCAATTTGAGGGCAACTAACAGCAAAAACAAACATATCTTAAAACTTTTAAAAAATATAATTTTATTGGGGTTGTAATATATAACAAGCTATACATCCATTATCTCAAGTGGATATGTAGCATTATTGGCATCAACAATTTCTAAACATTATCTTTCTTCTTGAGCCCTTTGATATCAGCTTTTCCCCCCCTCCCTCCCTGACTCTGCCATCCCCACAAACCCTTATTACGTATTGTTATTATTATTTCTACCTATTGTACATCGGCCATTCTATCCCTTCACCTACTATCTCGGTATTCTTCCCCTGAGAGGGGTTATTCCATTGTCATTGCTATCCATTCCCCCTTCCCCATATCCTCCTGGAATCGTTGCTCCCAGTACTATTCCTGAAGGGGTTTGTCTTTTCTGAATTCTGTACATTGAAATCTCTCGCCTGTGCCACTGTCTGTATAAGGGTCTAGCGGGAACTGCGAAATTGGATTGAGATCACAATAGTGTAGGGAGGAAGGATTAAAGAACTGGGGTGTTGTGTATTTTGTCAGTGCTAAACTGCCCCCTGGATGCACTCACTGTCTCTTCTGTGTAGCTCCTCTACATTCCAGAATTTTTTGAATCCCCCTTGAATTATGGATTACAGAGAGAGAAAACCACAGGAATGGGGTAATTATCAATCACATCATGCTCGTGTCATTTACCTTCAAAAACTTCAGGTGCCATCCAGGCAGCACTTCCCTTATTATTGGTCATGTGTGTCTGAATGTCACAGGCAGTACCAAAATCACAGATTTTTAGAACCGTCCCCCCTGCGACCAGCAACAAGCTGTTAAAAAAAATAGAACATGGACAACGGGTTACAAAATATTTAATTCTCTAATAACAAAATGAAACATTTGTGGAAATAGAAAGGGTTAAGTAAAACATTACCATTTTAACTTCTATGAAGTAAGTCAATACAATAACCATTCAGGGGACAACAGCCCAAAGTAACTGACCTTAGCGTAGCCCTTGTAGAAGCACCGCTAGATTCTCATTTTGATGTTTCCATCTCTACCACCATCATCTCTCCTGATGACACCTCTCTCTGGTGGTTTAGAACTGCTGACCCTGTGGTCAGCAGCCTAAAGCATAACCCACAGCACCACGAGGGCTCCTTCTATGCAAAAATACATTATTATTTTGTATATCCCAACAACCCACTGCCATCAAGCTGATTCTAACTTATGGTGATTCTGTAGCACAACGTAGAGCTGCCCCATAGGGTTCCCAAGGCTAGCTTTAGAAGCAAACTGTCATATCCTTCTTACGTGGACTGGCTGGTGAGTGTAAATCACTGACCTTTTGGTTAGCATCCAAGCAACTTAACCCGTGCACCACCAAGGCTTCTTCCTGTTTCATATAGTCAATGTTTGTTTGCAGTTTATCACATATATTTATTGCTCTCCCACCCCCTACCTTTCCTTCTTGAGTCTTGGACTGGCCTTCTGTAATCATTTTCTTTTCACCCAAAGCAGACCTTTAAAAAGGCCTTCAATGGAGGAAAAATTATGTTCAGGTTTTGCTTCAAAATGTCTTTATTTATTTTTGAGCCCTTGTAAGTTGCCCAGATCCAGGTTTTCCTAGCAGAATATATGGCAAGTTGAAACCTATAGTAGGAGGAGGGGCGACTCCCAGGGGAGGATTTAAGTTTGCTGAGTCAGATAGTAGATTCTTATTCCAAGTCCACCTTTTAGTTGTCTCCTCTCCAAAGGCCCTGGTTTCATGCAGAGGTCTCAGCTCTGCTGTCTTACCTTGAAGAAAACATGGGACCTGTCTCCAGCTACACAGAAGTCATTAGAACCCGGGCTATCCTTCTTGGAATCGGTTTGGTAGAGAGGCTCCCAGCTGAGCCCTTGGCTTCCATGCTAGATCCCTACTCAGAGTTCACGTCACTCCACCTTTGCTCTGATGAGTCCCTTTACTTTCTTGTAACATCACCTGTGCATGTAAAAGGGGGTCTGCTACAACTTGTAGCACTTTGGGGCACTGTGGGACGCTTTCTCAGTTTAACTACTCTGCCATATTGTTAAGAATTCTGAAACTCCTGCTATCATGTGCCCAGAGATCCAAAGGCCACATTTCCATAAAATCTTTATGAGCACATGTTAGAAGGTTATGGCTTTACCTTTGCGGTGCTTTTCAAGTTGGATTAAGAAACCTTGCCAGTATCCAACTAGATTGGGATAAGTGGCCGAGCGCGTGCCTAAGAAGTCCTGGATCTTATTTAGCTGTAAATACTTTAAATCATAGTACACATTTCTTAGCTTTATTAATATAAAATACATACAATAGCCATTCTTGAGTGTACAATTCAGGGGCACTAAGTGTATTCAGGTTGTGTTAATATCACCACAATTTATTTCCTAAATGAACATTTTAACACAAACTGCACAGTTCATAAAATTATAAAACAATTCTTATAACTCTCTTCTCAGATCTACTGGGGTTATATAACACTGTTCTGAGAGGTGGGAAAGCTTAAGCAGCACCATTTTAGGGCATTAAAAATTATAGAACCTCAAAATGTCAAATGACTCAGTGGCGTTATATTTTCTAAGAACAGCTACAAACCAAGTCTGCAAAGTCTATGATTGCTCATAATGCCAAGAATAGTTTCTATTTCAAGTATTCTCTTTACTTATTAGGAAGCAACAAAGAAATATTATTCATCCATTAAAAATAAAGAGGTATCTGCTCATACAGATAAAATAGCTATATAAACAGAAAAAGTAACATGTGTAGTATATGCTTATATAGAATTACCTTTCAGGAGTAAAATTGTGAGGCAAGAAAATTTTGCTTACTATGTGCCTTTTTCTACAGTATGCCTATTTTAATCATGAACATAAAGTTCTTTAAAAAGAATAAAGGCTAATTTAATGAAAGAAATTAAAGGGGGGATAAACCAACACAAAAGAAAAAACAATAGTGTATGAGGATTTTTCATTATAAATTTTATAAACTCTTTGTATGTAATTTTGTACTTAAACTCTCACTATAGAGATTATTTAGGAAATTAGTTCTCTTTCAGTCTAATGTGACGAAAATAGCCCAGATAAACTACTGCCCACATCTCTAGACTGCCAAAAATACTCACAGTAATTCAAGTGGAAAGAATGCTAAAAACCACTTCTATATCCCTGCACAGGCTTCACCAAAACACTGTTGTTGTTCAAGCTCTTGCTATACTTAACCAAGGCCATTGTAAAGCTCTGTAGGCCGTTTTCTTGCTACTTGCGGGCATGTTGAAGACCCCACTCTCATTCTTCGGCAGCATGACCTTTCCACTAGCACCCCTCTGTTCACAGGCTTCCATCGTTCACCAGCCTTCAGCAGGACATTCAAGACCCACTGGAATGTGAACCTACATTATCTTCGCAGCCTTCCTTTAACAAAGCTAAGACTAAGAATCCTTAGTCTTATTCTGAAATACAGGTCAAAGGATTTTCAAAAGAGAAATGATGTGAGAGTAGAAGCACAACTAGATATCATAGAAAACCCCTCATGAAATCATCATTCGCCTTCTTTGTATGGCATTCGGAGGCAATCTCCCTGACCAAAGAATCCAGAGGTTTTCCAAGGACAGTAAGATGTTACGTATGTGCCTTTATATACACACATATGAAAGCACAGACAGGACAAAGTATCTTTCTGAAAAATCAACTGTAAATCTACAGGCAACAATACGTGGCCGTCCCCTCCCAATGCTCATGAAACAACAGTGTGAGTTCAACCACACCCACTAAAGTCCATTGCCACTGAGTGCGTACCCACCCAGAGCAACCCTACAGATAAGAGAGAAACTGCTTCTTTGGGGTTTAGAGGTTGTAAATCTGTATGTACACAGACTCCTCTTTCCCCCAAGGGCAGCTAGTGAGTTTGAAAAACTGATGCTATGGTGAGCAATCCCATGCATAACCCACTGTACCAACAGGGTGCCATGGGTCTGGGTACAGGAGCATCCCTATAGTTGAAGGATGAATAACATGATACAGATCAGATACAAACCAGAGCTCATATAACAATCTGATACAGATCAGATACTGATCAGAGCTCTTGTGAAGACATTAATGGTATTTACTAGTAAAAGGAGAGTTTCTACCTGAAAAGATGATTTCATAGGCCGTATCTGATCTATCTAGTTTAGGTTGCTTAAGGAAAGTGAAAAAGCTTCCATTTATGGGGCAAAGTAGCATGGAAAATATTGGTAGTTGCTTAACCTGCTCAATACACAGAATATAAAGTGGAGTTGTCAGAAAATGGAAGTGACTTCTTTCTGTGAGCAGTGATCCTACATGTACTGTTTTCATAAGCAGTTAGCATAGGGGGAGAGGAGGAAGGGAGGGAAGAGGAGAGAGGAGGGTGGGGAAGGGAGAGAGGGAGCGGGAGAGAATGAAAGAAAGAATATCCATAACCCGGGGGGGAAATGCTAAGTGATTGTTTTCTTTAATAACCAAGGCAGGCAGCTAGACACCAGTCTCAGGAATCAGGTTAAAATACCAAAGTGCCATGAATCTGAAGCTCAAATATAATTTTACCAGGACCTATAGAAACAGGAGTCTTTCACACCTGGGAAAAGAAATGAAGTCCACTTCCAAGAATAGTGCTTTTGTTCATGAATTGGCACATACACAGAAGTGTCCCATTGGACCGCAGAGCGACATGTTTTCCCCAGAAGGGATGCTCTAGTGCAGTGGTTCTCAGCCTTCCTCATGCCACGACCCTTTCATGCGGTTCCTCATGTGGTGGTGACCCCCAACCATAAAATCATTTTCGTTGCTACTTCATCACTGTCATTTTGCGACTGTTATGAATTGGGTGACCCCTGTGAAAGGGTCGTTCGACCCCCAAAGGGGCTGCAACCCACAGGTTGAGAACTGCTGCTCTAGTGCTTTCAACCAGTATGAGGACAATGGCATCACCTGAGAGTATACAGAAGACTGGTTTGCTGAGGGACACCCGGTATGGTCTACGCACTGGTATGGTGTTGGGGAGAAAATAGGTAGGGGCTAACAGTTTTCATCTGTCATGGGGGATAGAGAAGAAAAAAGGGAGACGAGGCAGGAAGTATCACATTCCCTTAAACTTGGTGCCAATACAAATACAAACAAACAGATGAAAGCTTTAGCTTTTAAAAGTATTTAAAAAAGAGATTGCTGAAGTTTCTCAAAGTACCAGCATTTCCACAATGGAGCAATCCAGATGATTTTTATTTCTATCTAGGTACCGAAGGCACATCTTTTTTCCATGCTCTGAAAGAACCAGTAATAACCATGCTGCACATTTCTGGAGACTGCCTCCTCTACAGGAACACTGCGCTGCCTACTGGGAAATACAGCATGGAGCAAGCCAGACTTGTCCTTGCTCTTGAAGAGCAAAGAGCCTAGAGGCAATCAGTACTGTCTACTGCAGGCACACACGGAAATCTCTGGGCTGATTCTAGAATTACATGAAAGAGTCACCACAAATAAAAACACCACTAAGGATAACATTTTAAAATATAAAACTCAAAACCAAACTCACTGCCGCAAAGTTGATTCCAACTCTCAGAGACCCTATAGGGCAGCGGTTTGCAACTTGTGGGTCGTGATCCCTTTGGGGGTTGCCCGACCCTTTCACAGGGGTCGCCCAATTCATAACAGTAGCAAAACTGCAGTAATGAAGTAACAATGAAAATGATGTTATGGTTGGGGGTCACCACCACATGAGGACCTGTATGAAAGGGTCGTGACCCGAGGGAGGCTGAGAACTACTGCCCTAGCGTAAAGCAGGACTACCCCTGTGAGGTTTCAAGACGGCAGCTCTATGGGAGTACAAGTCTTATCTTTCTCCCACAGAGTGGCTGATGGTTGTGAACTGCTGACTACAATAAGCAGCCCAATTCATAACCACTAGGCCAAAGGGTTCCACTCAACTTAGTTAAATCCCTCATTCCTGTATGTTGAAGTTGAGCGAGAAAAAACAAACCACTGGTGCCAGCTAAAGGAGTAGATTAAAGAGGAACTTATGCTTAACAAATGGTTTGAAATGGAGAGTGGCGGGTGAGGTCACAGTATTAGAACTTACTTTGGCGGTTTCAGGTCCCTGTGAATTAGAGCTTTGGGTTGCATGCTGTGAAGGTAAGCCACTCCTTGGGAACACTGTAAACACCAACTCATTGCGTGCGCAGCCGTGTAATATGGCAATGGTTCAGCCCCATGCAGCACTGCAAAAGAAAGCCACAAACTAAAAAGAACTTTATTGCGTATAACACACGACACTAGGTGGACTGCAAGCACCTTCCAAACACAACTGGGTTTTCTACACATGTTTTCATCAGTCCTGCTTTAAATTCTTTTCTAGATTAAAAAAAAAAAAAGATTGAAACATTTACAAGCTTGATCCCTCAAGTGGTCAATCAAGTATGTATAACTGCTCTGCACATGTCTAACATTTAAGAGTGTTCCCATTAAATGTGACTCAGCTATTCAAGTAAAAGTAATATGTATTACTACACTCTTTCAAATGGATACAGTCTTTTTTACACAGTAACATAAATATAAGCAATCTGGTAGCATACCACTAGATAAGGATAGAGAAATAGTATAGGTGGAAACAATTTCTTTCAAGAAGTTTACCATTATGTAATAACTAAAATGTAGAAATAGTTCAACCACAGAATGAAATGAAGAACCAAGATACCCTAAAAAGAAGAAAGAACAAGGTGCCCAGTAGCAAGAATAGAATACCTGGGCAGTTCAAAACAAATCTCTCTGACAGGTGTTAGAAGAGGCAGTACACTGACCTAGGTAGCTGCTGTTCTTAGGGAACTGAGTGAGTTTTGTTCTATGAATAGTTAACAAATGATATGAAGAGCTTTCTTTCGCTGTTAAGATGAAATGCTCTATGGAGTGTTCGGGATTTATTTTGAAAGGAAAATGAAACAGAATTAAATGGTATATGATAAAAGTTTAAAAATGACAAGACGCAAAGTGAAAGAGGGCAAAAGCAAACACAAAGTACCAGCCTGAACATACTAAGTGGCTTCGGGAGGGTGGTGAAGATTTTCTATTCTTTTTTCATTCCACTTTTCCACCAACTTTTTGAAGACCCCTCATATTTTAAAATCCAACCAAAAAGAAGATTTTACTTTACTTAAATGAAAAACCTAACCAACTTTAAAATTTATAGATTTCTAAAGTTCACATACTGATGTTGTAATATCTTAGGCTATCCGTTTTTATCTTGAGCAGATTTTACAAAATTATCTTCTCTAGTACACTGATGATAAATTGTGAAGAGACTTAGTGCAATTTATATTAAAAGCTTTTCCATTATTGTAACTGACTAGAAAGACAGGTATAATGACACTCACCATTATATAAAGAGCCTCCTTCAGCATACTCCATCACAAGACATACCTAAAGGAAAGGTTTGCCAGAATTAACCACGGCACTACAACATCTTAAGGAATTTTAGAGATAATTCCATTTAGCTCCCTGATTTTATGGATGCATGAAAAACAAAACAAAACACACACACACACACACACACACAAAACACCAACACCACCACCACCCCCCGCCCCCGCTTCTCTTTAGCCCCTGTACTCCCTCTCACTGCCATCGAACCCATGTTGCTTCATAGTGGCCCACCCAGTGGGTTTAGGAAACTAACAGCTTACTGGAGTAGAAAGCCCAAATGTTTCCCTCAGAGGGGCTGGTGGTCTCCACTGCGACGATGTGGATCACAGGCCAACACGAAATCACAGAGCTCCTTATTTAGCGCCTATCACAGGGGCAGTTCTACTCTGCCCTGTAGCGTCCCTATGAATCAGCATCAACTCAAGAGCAGTCAGTTTGGTTTGGGGTTATAAGAATGGCACTAGAGGGAAAAAATCTATGATCTAAGAGTGGAAATACATGAGGGGGTTTCAAAAAGTTTGTGGGAAAATGGAACAAAAAGATAATGGAATTTTAAAACATTTGGAGCACCCTTGCAGGGGACATTCTCTAGTGCTATTAAGTAGGTACCATCACAGGATAACAGAAATCTCTGAAAAAGAGAAGATTACTGGCTAAGAGCACCTCAGACATATGGACATACTTGATAGGACACCTCCTCCCACATACAGTCTTGTTAAAAACAAACAAACTAGAAACAAATAACTATTGGTGCAACTGGCTGCTTCAGACATACCTAATGTAGTGAATCTAGATAGCTACTGTAGTGAATCTTCCACGTCCTCTTTTAGAAGGCTGTCAATAAGAAAAGGGACACTTACTGGATTCAAGCAGGCTCCGTAAAGCTTTACAATATTAGGATGGTTCACACGGGATAACTGACGAAGCTGTAACAAAATTAAGATTGCTCTGAAAAACTGGTAGTTTTTGAGGAACTGTTGTCACAGAATCATTAAAATCTCAGTTTAATCACCCAACATTTACTGTCTAGCAAATAACAGACACTGTGGTGGTAGGCACCGGACTACCCAGATGAACGGCAGAGACCCTCTGCTCTCCAGGCTGGGGAGGACAGACACGGAGACAAATAATGTGCAAAGTGCTGGAACCAGAAACATGAATAAGGCAGGGTGAGCAGAATCGCACAAAGCAGAGAGACAAACTATCAAGAAACCGTCCCAGAGATGTCACCGAGCTGGGTTATCTCAATTATCATAGTTGTCATCATCAGAGTCACAACTGGCTAAATAGAGGTGCCTTAGGGGCCAGGCCCTTGCAGGTACTTTATAACTAACTCTAAACTGACTGCCATCAATTTGATGCCCACTCATAGCAACCCTATACAGCAGGGTAAACATTGCCCCTGTGGGTTTCTGATACTGTTTACAGGAGTAGTAAGCCCTGCCTTCCTCCCATAGAGTGGCTGGTGTTTCAAACTGTAAACCTTGCGGACAGCAGCTCAGGTAACCGTTACACCACCATGGCTCCTTTGCAGGTACTTTACAGATACAATAACATACTCACAAGTTTGCAAGGTAGGTATATTATTTTTACTTTAAAGGTAAATGAACAGAGGCTCAGAGTCAAGTGAGCTATTAGCCATCTTACATCTAGGAATTGGTCTGGGCAGGATATGAACTTCATGATGTGAGATTTAAAATCTATTTTCTTCCTGCACACTTTGGCTCTTCCCACAGCCAGAATTTATTCCCGCCACCCCACTCCCTTGCTACTGCCTTAGTGACTCTCACCTGAATGCCTGCCATTATCTCTAGTCTCTTAGCGCTCTCCCTATTCTCTGTTTTAATTTTTTTAATCCAAGTGTCATACTGTAGTCAGTGAGGGCTTTGGTTGTACTTACTCCGAATATTCTAGATCGTGAGCCTCTAACTAATGTATTCCCCATAACTGCTTCTCACTCTTTTCTCCCGTCACTACCTTGTCTTTCTTTCTAAGGTACATTACACTGATGTTCACTAAACTCAAACCAAACCCGTTACCTTGGAGTAGATTCCAAGTCATAACAATCATGCAGTGCAGAACTGCTCACGAGGGTTTATGAGCAGTGAATCTTTACGGAACCAGAAACATGAATAAGGCAGGGTGAGCAGAGTCGCACAAAGCAGAGAGACAAACTATCAAGAAACCGTCCCAGAGATGTCACCGAGCTTCTCATTTAGGGGCCGCTGGTGGGTTTGAGACACTGACTTTTCAGGCAAGTGCTCTAACCAATGTGCCACTAGAGCTCAAGTCCTCCAAGATTTCTAAATTTTCCTGTAGAAAACTGTTTCTCTGTAAAGCTAACATTTGTAGATTTTGAGATCTAAAAGAAAAATTAGCACTACCATTACATTTCATTGTACTGTTAACATTCACAACTGAGCTTCTGATGAAAGATTGATTTCAAACATTTACTTTTGCTTTCTCCAAAAACTCCTTTGAAAAGACAAAGCAATGCTTAAATGAAGAAGCTCAGAAGGGTGAAGAGAATGCGAAATAAGTATACAAAACTATACTTTTTGGAAGCGGGAAAGCAAATGGCACATAGCAACTGCCCCAACAGACCGAAAGGAAGAGGACTAAACCCTCAACTGGCAGTGAGGGAACTGAGAAGCAATCGGGTATGTCACAAAATTCCCACAGGGTTGGGATGTGGAAGTGGTATCAGGAACCCTGCAAATGAGCCACTAAAACAGTGGTTCTCAACAGTCCTAATGTCACAACCCTTTGATACAGGTTCCTCATGCGGCGGTGACCCCTTATTTTCGTTGCTACTTCTTAACTGTAGTTATGCTACTGTTATGAATCGGGCGACCCCTGTGAAAGGGTCGTTCAACCCCCAAAGGGGTCGTGACCCACAGGTTGAGAACCACTGTACTAAAAGATAGAAAAGATTAATCGAAAGTTAGACCCAGAAACTCCCTTATGAATTCAAGTAATCAGTTTCTGGAATGGGTAACACTAAAAACTATTGAAGGGGTGCCTCCCCCTAATAAAAAACAGAGGAAACATCTCCAAACACAATTGAGTAGATGGGACCACAAATAAAAGCAGACAAAATTAGTCCAAGTTTATGTACTGAATGTTGGGATTTACCTTATTCTATTTGGCTTTCAAAATACAAAGATGCATGCATTCCAGGCAGAGTGGGAATTCAGTTGGTCCAAGAGACAAGAATGAAAAATACACACATTGAGGCTTATCTAATTAAATATTCCAGTCATACTACTCAAGTGATGGTGCATGTGTGCATACACAGGAACACACACAGATGCCTTGCATCAGCTCTTTTAAATCTGAGTATAAAGTATCACAAACCATTTGATGAAAGTTTCTAATATGAAAGAAGCCAAATAGACAGTGGGGGAGGGGGGCGGGGGGAATTCAAACACCGTAGTAGATTGTGACAGGTTTATTGTACCAACTAGGCCAATAGGAACACGTGGGCAGAGTTTAACAGCTTGAGTGGAGGACGACTAAGGTAAACAAAGACAGCTGGCATCCTCTTCCTCCCTGGTGATCTGACCAGCAAGCATGCTGTGCTTGCTGCCTGAGCTACTGTGTTGCACTACCTAGCCTGAGCTAGTGTGTTGCCAGGTCATATGGATCATGTCAGTAGAGCTTGAGGCTCCTTTGAGACCTGTCTCGCCACATCACTTGAGCTTGAGTTGGTGGTTTTGAACTCTAACCTGTTGGTAGCAACTCAACACATAATCCACAATGCCACTAGGGCTCTTAATTAAAAATACAGGACTTTAAAATGGAAAGCAGGCATGTAAAACTCATTTGAAATAAGAAAGTCTCATTGGAAATTAAAGCAAAAAGACAACAAAACTGAAAAGAGGAAAATAAGGTAAGAAAATTATACAAGTATTCTAGAAAGTCAAATATCTAACTCCTAAAATATAATGAATAGGGAAAATAGAGCAAGAACTAGAATACTTCAAGTAAATCTTCTAGCATCAAAAGGGTGGACATTAACAGGCGGAATGGACAATAAATGCACACACTATTCATGAATCTTTAAAATGCTGGGGCCAAAAAAATGGATCTTAACAGTCTGTAGAGAGACAAAACAAAATAACACAACAACAAAATAGATTTTATACAAAAGATCAAGAATCAAAACAATACCTTACAATTGTAATAAAAGAAAAAAAATGAAACAATCTTTTCAAAATTCTAAAGGAAAAGCATTTTTAACCTAAAACTCTATACTAAGCCAAACCATTAATTAAAATAATAAAGACATTTAGAGACATTCAAGATCTGAAAAATGGGGGCAGGGAAGTATCATGTAGTAGCTGTTTTCAAGAAGCTACCTAATAATGTACTCTGTCAAAATGAGGAAGAAAACCAAGAATGAGGAAGATGCGGGAAAATAGGGACAAGGTACAAAAAAGAGAGATGGGCATGCCTATAACATGATGAATGAAGATCCCAAGACCACTGTACAAAAGTCCTACAGAGCTGTGAATCCAATTTTGTGCAAGTCCGAAAGTTCTAGAACAATACCCCACCCCCCCAAGAAGACCAAAGTAACTTATGTGTTGAACATACTGTGAAGAGGATAAACTTGTACAAAGGAAGCAAAAGCAAATAAAAAGAAGATAGTAATTAACTCAAGGAAACCATAAAGTTGTATAAGAAAGGAGCTGCAACCATAGCATATTCCACGGCTCAGCTGTGAACATGTATACAATGCTATAATTTAAAAAAATGAATGATCAAACTAAAATTACAATTTATCCAACATAATTGTGCTACTCAGCTAATCCAGTGTCAATTTAATGATTAAAAGTGTAGGGGTGCACTCTAAGCTGTCAATCTGGCGATAGCCAATGACACTTCTGTGGGCATGGCATTCTCCCGAGAATTCCTGGGAAATCCTTCTTGGAGGCAGGAGGCACTATCTCTCTCAGTTCATTCCCTTGGAGACTCTCTACTGACAAGGCTGACTTCCTGCAGCGCATCCCTGAGGAGATGCCACAAGGACCTACTCTGATGCAGCCCTGGGAACTGGAATGGCCACGTGGAGACCCTGCCAGCGCTGAGATGCTTCTGCCACCACTGACTTTGCAGCTACTGGCCTGTGATTGTTCTGCATTTGCCGTCATTGCATGTGTTTCGTGAGTCTGAAAAGGACTTTATGGATTGGTGTCAGACATATGGGCTAATATCAGACTTATGGTCTTGGTCTGGACTGGGTTGGGATGTTTTCTCAATGTTCAATTGCTCTTGTATATAAATCTCTTTCTTAGACACATATGTGAGTCCATGGATTTGTTTCTCTAGTCTACCCAGACTAACACAATGATCCAGCATCTTCCACTCACAGGGCGGCTGGTAGGTTTAAACTGCCAACCTGTTGTTAGCAGTCCAACGCTCACTTGACAGCGCTACTGAAATTTGGGGGGCGAGAAGCCTTGGAAAAACATTTGCCTCTTTAAATTAGACAGATGTATAACCTTAATTAAAAATTGTTTTCCAAGCTATTATGATTGTTTGACTCTTGATTCCAACATTTAACACTATTTTACTGAGCTTAGTGAAACTGTCAATACAACAGTATATGATGAATGACTTTATCTAAATCATAAACAAAACACCAGACAAGATAGGACAGAGACCAGACTCTAGAGCACGCTAGTAAGACATCATCTTTCTTCACGGTAACAGTGAGCCACTGACGAATTATTTCTCAGCTCATCCAGGCAATTAGAAATTCACTTGATCATATCATTCATAAGTTCTCATTCCTCCATGTTATACATTTAAAAGTCATTAAAATATTTTGAAATTATTATTAAATGAAAGCATAGATATAAATTCAAAGGTTTATAGGGTTAAGGTCACGTATCCATTGATCCAAATCCATTAAAAAAAATCGAAGTCAGCATGATAAGGAATAGATCTGTTAATACAATATGGTTACTGAATTTCCCTTCATCATCAAATGGGAAAGAGAATAGTTTTCTTAAAATAATCTCAGCTGGAATAATAATAATTTTCCATTAAAAATGAATGCATAAAATCTCCCTTCTAAAATCTAGAAAATGAGAGCATGCCATTTATTTTCTATTTTAAAATGAAAATTCTGGGCCCTGAAGCAAGTCTGAATTATTACATGGATGAAATTTCATTTTAATTCAGGGATGAACTTGCTTGTTTGCTTAAGTCTTTTTCCTCATTTTCAATCAGAATTAAGGGTGTGAACCAGAAAATGTTCCAATGGTATCACTTTTGGTTCAACCAGATAGTTGATATTCAAGTATACAAATGAATGATCACAGAAAAACTCTTTTTAAAAATATTAAACTTGCAGAGTAATTTAGGAAAAACAGCACATCATCTTACCTCTACAATAAAAGCTTTCCTCTCAGATTCACTCTCTATTTGCTTAATAGCAACATCTTTTGCTCTCCATCTTGCTTTGCAGACTACTCCAAAGGCTCCTCTTCCAACAACCTGTTTAAAAAAACATGAAAAGGAGAAACAAATAGACAAGCCAACATATCTGAGTACTGGAGTTACCCAAAAAACTTTAGAAATCATCAGTATGTAAGATGAGAATGTACAACATTTTAATACAATGACAAGATGATAGAATGCACACTAGTCTCTACTCTCAAACTTCTGAAGTTTGGACACCATCTTCTTTCAAGTATAACCGGAAATCACAAAACAAAAAAGACTCATCCACTCATAAACACAGTAAGCACGCTTTAAAATGTGGAGAACAAATTAAAATTTTAAGATGAATGAGAAGAGGTACTTTATAAAAATCAAGATAAAAAGCAGAAAAATATAGTATTTAATACTGTAAGATATTAGAAATGACTTTAGAATACTTCAGTAAATAAGGGTAAGGGATAAAACAGAACACATAAAATTTCAGATAAAAAAGGCTGACTAGTCAGCATCTACTTGAAGACAGTGAGTTAGTGAGAGTTTTATGGCAAAGGATAGATAAAATGTATTTATACGATTGTGTGTTATTCAGTATAAATGGTATACAGGTAGTGATACAAGCTACAGCATGGATGAATCTCAAAAATATTATGCTACTTAAAGAGTAGTAAGATACACATTATGACACATATTGTACGGCTCAATTTCTGTAAAATGTACAGAAAAGGAAAATATACAGACACAACGTGTTATCCGTTGTTACCTTGAGCTGATAGTAATAAAAATCCTAACAAATCAGTTCAAAAAACAGTTTTCATCAAGAAAACATTCAGTGACTGGTTCCTGGTGAAGATGACCCAACTTGGTAAATTTGGTACAAATCACTGAATTGTAAACTTCAAATAAGTGACTTTTAGAATGTAACAACTATCTCAATAATTTTAAAAGAAGATTACCATTACGAGGAGGCTTCAAAAAGTTCATAGAAAAGGGGATGAAAAGAAAACGGAAAATTTTCATTAATTTTTTAAAAAGTTTTATTAGCACTTTATCCACATGTCATACAATTCAATAATTCAATCACATCATGAAGAATTGTACAATTATCATCACATTCAATTCTAGAACATTTTCTTCTTCCTTGTACTCATTGTTATTCATGTAATTATTTTTTCCCCCAATTGTGGCAAAAATATACAAAACAAAACATTCTCCAACTCCACAACTTCTACATGTATAATTCAGTCCATGAATGATTTTAAGCCCCTTGTACTCCATTCTATTAGTGTTGAAGCTGATGGGTAGATGTTAGGTGCTGTCAAGTGGATTCCAACTCAGGAAGACCCTGTACAACAGTGGAGCACTGCCCACCAGCTTTGCCTCGGCCCAAATCCTTACAAGACAGAATGCCAAGTCTTTCCTCCCATGGAGCTGTGGGTGGGTTCTAAAGCTTTCAGTTAACAGCCCAGCACCTAACCATTCCTCCACTCGGACTTCTTGATGCTACAGAGACTGATTATGCCTCTACTGTTGTAAATATGAGAATTTCTATTCTCATAGCATAAGGCAAACCAAAGCAAACCAAACCCCACAGCTTTTGATACCTGCTAGGATTTTTTTTT